ATACATTGATGCTTCCTAGACCGTCGCCCATAGTCCACTGTGAAGCTAAAGTGCCACGTAAATAAAGTACCTACACTTACCAACTACAAATGAATTTTCGCACTTTCAGATAGTACATTTCTATTGGTAGCAAAGATAAAGTATTTCTGTTATATTTTATATTATAACCGTTGCTGAACAGCCGACAAAGTTTTGGGTTTACGACTACTAATGTTCAACTCCGTATCCTTGTAATTTTGAACCCAACCCAGAACACAAGGGAACTCCTGGATCAAGTATTGGGAGAAATTCGTCTTCGTGGAGGTCTTTTTGATGGAACTAACCCGCATTTGCGTCACATAGAGAGGAAGACCACGAGAAACTCCCACTGTTATCCTGATGGTAAATGAACTCTAACCTATGAACCGTCTACCACTGAGGATATTTTACGTCAGCACTGTGGTCGGTGCAAGCCGGGTGCGAAATTTGTATCTACCAACCATCCCTGGGATTCGAACCCGGTTTAACTCAATAGAAGGCGAACACTCTATCCCCTTAGCCATCGCGGCTAAAGATAATGTATTAACATTTACAGGGGTGGATAAAACTACAGAAACCCTTTTATATTAATACCATGTAGGCAATATTTCATTTACGAGTTTGTTTTGATGGCAAAACTTGAAAGACCATGATATAAAGCTTTTAAAAATTGTCCTTTTCTATCATGCAAAATTTTCAGCAAGCAAAAGGAACGTAGTTTGTTTCGTTCTCTTTTTAATACCGCTTTAATTTTAAAGGCATCTTTATATAAATATCGCAATCTTATAACAAGATTTTAAAATAGCGGGTATTAAAGCTAGAAATAAGTTATTAAATTCCTCCTCACATTTTGATCGATCTGAATTTACATGAGTAAAAAGAAAATCATTTCTAAAAGCTTCAATCATCATTTTCAAATCATGATTTTCATGACTTCATGATCTTCAGCATTAATCATGACATGAAAATCATGATTTCTTGTCATGAAATCATGATTTTCATGACTTCAATCATGATTTTCAAATGGCACTAATAAATTAATAACAAATTGATAAATCATTTGCTGATGGAAAAAAAAGATTGTTTACATAGAGTTAATATATAAGTATTTTGATATTTTTGTCCAACCCCTGAATATTGTTGTAGTTATTACCTATATTATTACAGTAATTATCTAATACTTTAAAGTTTATTTACACTCACAAAATACTATCGAATTTTTGTAGTTTCAAAAAATATTTTCTAGTGTAAAGGATACTGTGTTAATAGTTTTAGAAATTATAATCAAATTATTCTTGTCCACCATTTCATGTAAATAGTTTAGACAAATGTATGGCCGGAATAGCCTGGTTGGCAGGGCGCTGGACTCACGTTTGTTAGTGGGAACGGAAGTTCGAATTCAACCGGCTGAAAACTCCCCGTGTAGTAAATGGTGACTTGTGCACGTTAAATCTGTATTAAATCTGTTAAATCAGCAAATTATACCTCTGGGGGTATTGAGTTGGAGATTGGTTTTTCTCTGATTCTCGTCAAAATTAAGATCTGTGGATGAATGAATGGATACGCTCTATAAACAGGTGGGACGTATGGGTGTGGCAGAAGCCGAATTCATGTCCATAGATGGTGTCACTGGACAACAAAATCAATCGTCCCCCTTGCTTTAATGACCAACGACAATAACAATAAGCAATTGTATAAAAGCTCAGATGAAAATTTGGGCAGAGGCTGACCGTGCGCTTTCGCCTTTTCACCTAATGCTATGTTACGTGGAAGTAGTGGGTTCGAATCCTGAAGTGACCCTGGATGTATCTTTGCGGTATGTCGCTCTAACTCATGTTCTTCAACCTGACGTAAGTTATAAGCCGTACTCTTTAATGAGCGCAGCATTGGCATGTTTAACACTAGCAAGATGGTCATGTTTGGATAAAAAATCTGTTTTAGAAGTTACACTACTTGCGTAAAAACTGTTTTTCCAAAGCCTTAAATGCTGGAAAATATGCTGCACTAATAAAAGTTTTGGTGCATTTTAAACCATAATCCTATTCAAGTAACCTTAATACGGAGCAAATTAAGTTTAATCATTTAATCGTTTCTGTCCAGCTTGATGAAAAGCTGAAGCCTGAATCTGTTACTAAGGCGTTATTAAGGTTATAGCACGTTCTATCTGTATTATGGTTCAAACCACAGATAAATTTGGTTCAAAAATGAACTGAGTTTTCTAAATGTGTAACTAGTTTTAGCTGCTTAGTTCATATGGTTTTAAATATTTTCAGAATATAGTTTTATTTCCGAGTATTTAAACTGTTTGATCTTAATCTCAATGTAAAAAATTCCGTATCAAACCACAGTATGAAGCACCGGCACTTTGGGTGCACCCTTCGTAAAATCCATTTTACCGTAAAATCCATTTTTACCATACTTTTGGCAGCATTATTTATTTAATTAGAGATAATTAGTGATTTTACGATAGTTGTTACTGTAAAAATTACGGTATATCAGATTTTTTATTTTGTATCTTGTTTATGGCAAAAAGTGCCAGTACCAGTTTACCGAAAATTGTAGACCGAAATATATAAAAAGCTATACCTTTAAAATAACAGTTATTTTTCTATCTAATGACGAAATATATTTTACGACTTTTCCTATGGGAACGTTTCATTGTTTGAATAATTCTTTGTGATTCATTTGCAATAACATACATTTTAAATATTATTACAGCAACTTCATTAGTTAATTTTCTTTTGTACAAATGAAAAATCCGTAGTTTCCTTAAATATCTTTAAAGCAAATAATAAAAAATTTCTTTTTGACCTATTCGGTTACTTTTTTCATTAGATTTATTTTAGTTAAATATAAATATTTCTATAAAAAGTGTATATTTATTAATTTTGACAATTACTTAAAACCAAACATAGGAAGGTATACGTTTATAATAACAGGTATCTTTCTACCTAATGACAAAATTTATTTTACTACTTTTTCTATGTGTTTCATTGCTTAAATTCAAATATTCAATATATACTATTCCATTATTCAAATATTTAATATTAAAGAAAATATTCAAACAATGTTCATCTTTTCATTGTTTGAATATTTCTATCCGAGTTCTTTGCAATAACATACATTTTAAATGTTATTACAACAACTTCAATAATTAATTTTCTTTTCTGAGAATAAAAAAATACTAGTTTCCTTAAATAACTTTAACACAGGTAATAAAAAATTCAATAGACTTAACTTTTCATTAAGATGTCAATAAAATATTTCCTATTCACGGCAAAAAAATTAAATTACTCTCCTAGAATTCTGTTAATTAGATCACGAGATCCCCAGTACTGCTTTCTTTTCCCATTTTGACTCATTTTATTTCTTCATAAAATCCATCTGAGAGGAAATCTCCGCCAAAGCAAATATAAACTTAAACAATTCAGCAATAAAATAGTTTATTATTAATTTTTAAAACGTTTATGACAGAGCTAGAGGCGACTTTGAAATAGTAAAGACACCGTAAATGCAAACGTAATTTTTGTTATTTTACATTCCATGCTTTAGGCTGCTCTCTTGCGTATAAATATATCACGACCTTTTAGGTAACTGCAACTTTAACTGCTTACTTAAAAAAGTAAACCTCTTTTATTTTAATTTCATAAAGCCTTTCCTCAAAAAAGACAAGTTGGTTATTGTTTAATTTGTTTTCTGCTCTATAATAAATAAGCCTATTAATTCCATAGCAATCTTCTTATTTTTATGACTTTAATTTCCTTAATTCCTTTCTCAGATATAATATCTTTTTCATAATTTAAATATTTTTTAACTTAAAACTCTTTTTGCTTAATCCTAGATCTTGAAATATGTAATCTTTTTCATCATTAAAACTGATCTTGTTTAACAACTTCTGCTTTTTTTTTTCTTTTAATGACAGTATTAATTTTTCTGCCCTTCTAATTAGAAAAATTGATTAATGAGTTAATTATAAACTGTAATAATAAAAAAAGATTGTCTTAGTCGTTTTCCCGAGCGGCCATAATTCTTTTAGCAAACATTGGGTGTATTTCATATACAAATTACACTTACATTATTCAAACATCCGTTTTTATTTTTTGGTTATTTTGATATTATAATTTCTTACCAACAAAGCTAATTTGCATTTTTTAAGATTTTTCAATAAAAAAAATTTAACTTTTAATTATATGTAAGATTATTTTTCTTTTAATTTTACTAATACTTTTATAATTCTTAAAAATAATGCATATTTCTTTAATACTTATGCATATAAATGTATTTTTAGCCATTTTTTCAGTTACTCTTATTTTGGGTTTAGCACATTTTACTCACATTTTTGTTTAACAAAGCAGATGTTTTTAATCATTATTCGATTTAAATTGATTAAATATTTTAAGCTTTTAATTCTCTAAAATTATATTTACATACAAATCGAAGACTAAAAAAGACAATAATAACTTGAAAAATATATAACACATTAATTATAATTAATTAGTCAATTTTAATTAATTTTATTATTTTTTTCAGTTGTAATATGCTTATTTATTTTTAAAAAAATAGATAATATTTACAAAAAATTAATAATAATGTTGATATATATTTAATTCGAATCTTCTTTGTTTCCAAATCTTCAAAAAATTCTTTCCAAACTTTGTTTTATTTTTAAACAAAAAATTTTAAAAAAAGAGGAAAATTATGATAATACTTATGCAAACTGTGCAACTTTTCCATGTAACAGAATAAGATAAGAACTATTTTTTCCGCTCACTTTTCTAAATCTTAGCTAGAACACCTAACAACTTTCATAAAACCTTCATTCGAATTAATCGTACCTGTGCTGCCATCTTTTATAAACTGTTTAAACTAAAAAGTATTTATCATAATTTATTGTTAAATTCTTTATTATAAAAATTCGTTACAGAAACAATGTTAATAAAAGAAAGTTTTTCATGCTAATCTTTTGCTATATTTCTTTTCAGAAAAATGACTTCAGTTCGTCAAATTGGTTTGATTCCAGCTGGTTGTCAACCATGGAATTTAAATGTCGTGGATGCAACGGGATCACGATTTGCTTATGCTGCAACTTTAGCCATTTATATATATGAAGTAAGTTAACCATAAAATTTTTCACTTATGTTCATTACTTATAAAAGCGGATATTCCATTTATAATTTTATATTAGACATATTATTTTCATAGTTTGTATTTTTTTTTTTTTTTCTAATTTATCTATTCATATTTGCACACTCAAGTAAAAAATCAGCAAAAAACCTTCACATAAAATTTCCTTTTAAAGGTTTTGTTAAATAAATTTAACTGAAATGTGCAGAAAAAACGTATAAAGTTTTTTTTCCATTCGAAAATAATTGGAGTTCCTTCTGTTCCATTAATAAGAATTAAGGTTTCAATAAATAACTTTTAGAAGACAGGCCTGTCCATATATCGAGAAAAATTTGTCTTCGAAAAGATTTCTAAGTAAAGCGATAACCCACATTTAAGCTTAATCAATCTGTCATTTCCACACAGAGAAAAAAATTCTGGTAAATTTACCGTATTGTATAGTAATAACATTTCTGGTAAAAAAGTATATATAATTCTGGTAATGAATACCAAGGTATCCGGAATTTAAATCATTAATTTGGTAATTTTTTCATTCATACGGTAACACTTTACCAGAAATTCTGGTTTGCAAAATTATTGTTTTTATTGCCACCCATTTAGCAAAAGATACAAAACTGAAAAACAAATTTTCCCGAATAAATAGTTTTCTGCCATGCTCTAATGTACCATGATAAAATTATCAAATTACCACATCTACCAAATTATATCACACTTTATAAAACCATATTTTACTGTTAATTTTGCCAAAATCATTAACGAAGCTCTTTGATAGAAATTGCCGAGCTTTTTGGTGCTCCCATAGACCTAAAAACAAGGTAAATTTCACCATATTCTGATAGTTTTGACCATACTTTTCTTCTTGGTGCATAAATTTTATATTGAAATACAAATGCAAGATGAGCAAAAATCAGATTAAAAAAATCTTCTCAAACAAAGCGATAAAGAAAAGAAACAACATAAAAACGAACACAATGAGATATCACGTTTCAATTATTTTATAAGTTAAATATTTAACTAAATTTATATGTTCTAAAAACATTTTCTAAAGCATTAAATACCAAGCGTTTTTCAGTTTCGTTTTTAAAGTTAATATTTAAGTAAACAGGAAAGCTAAAATCATATCAAAATCCCATTTATTAATTATACGTTACGTATTTATTATATTATAAATTTCGTATTTATTTTATTATAAATTTCGTATTTATTTTATTATATTTTGCGTATTCAATTGCAACTCCATTAAAAAGTTACTTTGCATGAAAATAAAAAGTTTTTCTTCAAATAAACATGAGTAGTTACACTAACGCAGAAAAAGTTAAAAATAGTTTTTTGAAGTCATCAAAAAACATCAAAGAAGCAAGATACATTTTAGTATCACACATAACATTTTCTTTTTCTAAAATAGTTACGAAAAAGCAATGGAATAGTTAAAAGAAGTTTTTAACATAATTATGTTTCAAATTCCAGAAGCATAATAAAAAGTTGCAATAAAATATGCTTGTTTGATATTTTAAAATTATGTATATTGCTTTCTTCGCAATTTTATTTCCTTTTGCTTTACTTACTCATTATTTTAATTTACCTTCAAAACGATTCAGAATTTTATCATCTTACACGTTTCAGAAATGTAACTTCCTTTCAATCCCTAATTACTTTTAACTTTATTTTTTTCTTGCCTGAAAGTTATTTTTTTCTTATAAATATAAAACGCAAACTAAGTGTGACTTTAATAAAACTTTTAAAATCGTTAAAATACTTAGCATAAAAAAATTGTCAAAGTTTTTTGATATTATTCAAACTAATTATACTCTCTATTATTCAAAAAAGTTTTTAAGCTAAGACTAACTATCGGCTTTTAACTAGTTAATAATAGTTTCCAGAACAACAAACTTTAATTAAAGCCCTTATTATCATTAAAAAAAATTATAATAAGTGTATTGTTGTGCGTAATTTTATTCATAAAAATACAGATTAATCAGAAGAGTGACTTAAATTTTTTTTATAAAAATGTCTTAAATAATAGGGAAATTCTTATAAATACATTTAAGAGGGTTTTGAGGGAAATATTTTTTCATTAAATGCATAAAAAAGATTGTATTTTCATTAAATGCGTCCATTAAATTTTCATTAAACTTTTTCGTTAAATGCGTAAAAAAGTTTAATCCTTCTACAGGTAAACTAAATAATTATAGAAAAGTTAATAAATAAAGCAAAGCAAAATACTATTTCAAATAATGAAGGATAGTAAATAATAAGTCACGAAAATATGCCGGGTTTCTCAAGGAAAAGATTAGTCGAATCCAAACACTTAAGACCTAAGTTCGACTCCAAGTGAAGAGTTCTCAATTCGTATTCTGATCGCAGGATAGTGCTCGACCGCATCGATCACTTTGCTGACCGAAAGCAGCAACAGTGAATCATAGGTTCGAGTCTACTCGTCGTAGGGCTTACCATGAAAGTTTATCAAGGTTTTCTTTTCTATGTAAAACAAACTCTGGCTAGTTCTCCGCAACGGCAAGTTCGCTGTAATGTCTAATCGAGGGGATTTCTTGTCTTCTGGGTTAAGTTCAAAACTATAAGGTTACGGAGATGCACAGTGATATAACTGCTATCCCATTAAAGACAGATATCTTAACGCCGGTGATAAACAATAAATAAATTAGTGCAAATAGTGCTTAAAATAGTTAGCAATTAGTATAAAGCAGTTCGATCCCCTCCGGCTGAATAATCTCCGTGTAGTAAATGGTGACTGATGCAAGTTAAATCTGTTGAGTCACAAGGTCCTCCATGTTCCCATAACAAATCATACCTCTGGGAGTACTGATCCAGGAGTTCCCTTGTCCTCTGGGTTTTTTCAAAATTTCAAGGATACGGAGTTGAACATTAGTAGTCGTAAACCCAAAATTGGGTAGGCTGTTGAACGACGGTTATAAAATATTAAATAATATATAAGTTCCATCATTTTCACAAATAAATTTCTTAATAAATTCTGAATAAAGTTTTACGTTATTAATGTTAATGTTACGCTATTAAGTATCAGAACTCAAATTTTTAATACAGAATAAGTCCGAAGTGGCTTAATAAACCAGTAAAAGATAAAAAACGAAAAAAAATATTCACTTTATGCCCAAACTTATGCTTTATTGCGTATCATGTATACTAGTTTTTTAAGTTAACATGTATATTCACAAAAATATAAACGGAGATTTCATTATTACACTTATTATACTTTCATTATTATGAAAATTATTAATTTTTAATGTTATTAATTAGGAACATTTAATGACAATTGCGGTGTATTTTTCAATTTATAACAAAAATATTGCATTCAAATTTTTAAAAAAAAATATCACATTTTAGCCAATATATGTCTTTAAAATAACTTTTAAACACATTGATCAAAAAAATAAAAACTTTTTAGAAATATGGAGAAATGAATTTAATTGCGCATAGAATTTTGTATTTTCATAACATTCAAATTGGTGTTATCTTAAAAAAATTTACTAATATGGAAGTAAACTAAATGAAAATTATTTACAATTCACGATTTCTTCAATCAGTGGCTTTTTAAATAATAACTACTTTTATGTCCATGAAATAATAACATACTTCACTAAAATAACAAAATATTTCTTAAAACATCTTGCACTGCAATAAGATTTTACGAAAGTGAAAAATCAATATGCTTAATCAAAAGCCTCATTATAGCATAATTGAATCATTCGATATTAGTTTGAATTTTAAATTTGAAGTCGAAATTTGAAGTAATTTCCGTTTCAGGAAACAATCATTAGGATTCATCATTAAAATGTCTCATTAAAATATAATTATTAAAGTTTTAATTAAAAGTTGTTTTTCAAACTAGTATTAATTTTTTTTTCATGTCCATATAACACTTTGTATTGCCATCATTTTTACTATTTTCAAGATTTTATTTTCTATCACGTTATTTTAAAATAGTTAAAATGTTACAATTTATCTGTAGTATCTTTAATTTCTATGGAATTTTTAACTTCAATTGTGTCGAAATAATATACGTTATTTCTTCAAAAGACTATTTTATACTACTTAATTACGAATGAATAAAGCCACTAAATACATCCCTATTATAAAGATAATTAATTAACCACCAATTTTGATAAAGACAACAAACAAATCATATAACAAATCATAATCGATGATTACCGATAGTATTGTGATAGAGAACATTTTTATTATATTCTGTTATTATATATCTGTTATTATATATCTGTTATATATTTAATTTCAGTAGAATCAGTTTTGTTTTCATTCAATTATGACGAATCAGCATAATCTTTGTTTAAATAAAACTGCTTATAAAGACTACCACTGAATCTTATATCATTGTTCTAAATACAAATAATAAATAATATATAATTTTTATTCAGAACATATATAAATCATTTATCTGGTCAAAATCACTGATTTCTGATACAATTGCAATAAGGAATCTTTCTATTGCGTGAAATTATGATACTGCCGGGCAATTTAAAAATCTACGTAAGGGGACTTCATAATAGATTTTGAGAAACGCGACTTAGCAATTATTTTCTTTCTTTAATACTATCGATTTTAAAATAGGAGTTCAGAAAACTAATTTTAAAAAGTTTGCTTTTAAAAAAATTTCAATTTGATCATCATTCAAAAATGCCTGTTGTATAAAAATTTCAATTATGAATTTGCGATCGCTTATGCTGATTTTTCCATTGTGCGGCAGAATACATATGTTGTAACTTCAATTTCATTAAAGTCACAAAAGCAACGAGATCCGCTTACATTAAATCATACCAAACATTTTTTCCTTAAAAGGAATAACTACTAAATCATTTATCAAATCATAACCACTAAATACTGACACAGAATTAAAATTTTTATTAAAAATAGTTTTACTATATTCTTTTTTCAGTGAAATCCCAAAAGCAACCACTTGCACTGGCATTCAAAACTGTATACATTTTCCCTTAAAAAGAATAATTTCCATCTATGAAGACAACCACTATTATACATCGTTATTATAAACATAACCAATTACTTATGTATCGTTTATACAAAAATAACTAATAAAATATAGATCACTAAATACTTATAAAGATATTATTCTGTTATAATAATATTCTATCACTTAAATAGAATTACTTAAGTCTATAAAGACAACCACTGAAACATGTATCACTATTATAAAGACAATCATGTTTCAATTTTAAAATGAAAAACAATCGCTTGTATGCAATTCAAACAAAAATGTATACATTTAATTGTAAAAAGAATTACTTAGGCTTAAAATTCAACTACCGAATTCAACTACTCTACAAACATAAACACTAAATGGTACATCAAATAATAAATGCTCATTATTTATGAAAATTATTGTAAACAATATTTCTATAATATCTCAGTTGTAATATTTGTTCCCTTAAAGAGACTTATATCTATAATGACAAGCACTAAATCGTAAATCATTATAATAAGGACTACTAATAAATCATGCATCATTTTTATAAAAACAACCAATTTATCATATTACAAACCATAATCACTGAATACTGATAAAATTGTAAAATAAAAAATCATTCCATCATATTCTGTAACAATAAATCTGCTGTATCTTAAAAAAATATTTATATCGACAAAGACAACCTCTAAATCATGAATCCTTATTATGAAGTCTAAAAAATAAATCATGTATCATTTTTATCAAAACAACCAATAAACAAAGCATTATTATTTATAAAAAAAGAAACTATTAATCAGATTACAAACCGCAATCACTGAATACTGATATAATTTGTTATAAAAAATCTTTCCATCATATTTTGTTACAGTAAATCTGTTGAATCTTAAAAAAACATTTATATCGATAAAGACAACCTTTAAATCACGAATCATTATTATGAAGTCTAAAAATAAATCATGCATCATTTTTATCAAAACAACCAATAAACAAAGCATTATTTTTTATAAAAACAACCTATTAATCGTATTACAAACCCTAATCACTGAATACTGATAAAATTATTATAAAACTTATTTCCATTATATTCTGTTACAATAAATCTGTTATTTCTTAAAAAAATATTTATATCGATAAAGACAACCTCTAAATCACGAATCATTATTATGAAGTCTAAAAATAAATCATGTATCATTTTTATCAAAACAACCAATAAACAAGGCATTATTTTTTATAAAAACAACCTATTACTCATATTACAAACCCTAATCACTGAATACTGATAAAATTATTATGAAACTTATTTCCATTATCTTCTCTTACAATATCTGTTGTATCTTTAATTTCAGTGGAATCCTGAAAGCAATCAGTTTTACTTGCATTCAATTATGTCCGAACATAAGAAGACCATTTCCGCCATTGCTTGGCACCTACAAGATAAGGACATCATCGCAAGTTGTAGTACAGACTACAAAATATGTGTCTGGCATGTATCGAAACGCAAGTTATTGGCCTCTTTGAATACTGCTCACGCAGTTCCATCTTTAATGGCATGGTTTCCGGCTGATGTTGACTGTCTAGCATATTGCGATGGTAAAGGACCATTATATTTGTGGAAGTACATGGATAAAAATGATAGAAATGGACATATATCTCAACCATTGAATGAAATACACTCTGTATCATCAAATATTACTCAAATCAGTTGGCATAAAACTTGTCCCGGAAGATTGGTTCTTGGCCATGCCGATGGATCTGTTTCATTCTATTTGCAAGGTATCTTTGTTTTTATTTACTTCATCTTCTTTAGATTTATAAAATCTTAAATAAATGAACATTTTTATCTGACACATCTGTTTAATTAAATTTTATAGCAATAAAAAATAAATTAGGAAATTTAAAAATCTTACTATAATGTAGGAGTTTTGAGGCATATGTGAATTTCCCTGCTTTAATGCAAATTTATTTCATAATTTTTTTTATCTTTTCCATTTGTTTTACTCTTGTTCATTTGGTTTTTTTTTTTTACACAATTACATCCTTTTTTGTTGGTTAAAATTTCTATATTAATATGAAATGAATTTCAAAAGTTAAATAATCATCATTATTGCACGAATCCCCAAGGTGGGCCTTAGCCTTTTTTAGAACGCTTCTCCATGTCGTTCTTTTTGTTACCAAGTCTTTCCAGTTCATTATCCTGATTGTTTTAAAATCAGCATTGGTGAAGTCCAGCCATCAAAGTTTTTGACGCCCTCTAGCTCTGAAAAGTTAAATACTAAAACGTGTCATATCATATGCAAATTCAGATGCTTGAACGCAGTTTTACTTCATGAGTTTTTTTTATCTGTATTTTACTTTATTTTCTCTTTTATATTATTCTCCTAATTTATGTAATTTTCTTTCGCAATTGTTATATTTTTTGTTTAATTCAGTTTCCATAGTAATATAAATTGTTTACCGATATAAAATAAATTGCAAAAGTTAAATAATAATAATCATTGCGTGAGACCCCGGGATTGGTCTTGACTTTTTATAGATTATTTCTCTACATCGTTCTGTTTGTTTCTAGGTCTTTCCTGTTCAATATCCTGGTTGTTTTAAAATCTGTATTAATGGAGACCAGCCATCAAGGTCTTGGCCGTCCTCTAGATCTAAAAAAATAAATGTCTCACAAACGCGTAAACGCAGTTTCATTTCATGAGTTTTTTTTATCTGTTTCTTACTTTATTTCCTCCTTTATTTTATTTTCCAATTTTCTGTATTTTTCTTTTACATTTGTTATATATTTCACCTTATTAAATTTCCTTTGACATTAAAAAATTAATTAAAATGGTGGAAAGTCTACTTTTCACGACTTAATAGAGGATTACAGAAGTATGAATTAGCATTATTGACACACAACACCCTTAATGTCTTTTTATTTTGGGCGCAGCACAAAAGGCGTGTTTAAGGCCTACCGGAAAAGTCTTTATTCAACAGAATTTAAAGATTCAATGTTCTTTTTAAGGGGTTTCCGAGAATTTTACATAGAGAAGAAGGGGCTTGTAAGAATATTTTTCATAAATTTGTCAAAAAAAACATATTTAATATACTTTTTTACTAATGAAATTTTTTTTTAAGAATAATTTGGACTTTTACCTTCACTCTGGTTTATATTTGGAATTACAAAGTTGTTTAGTTTTTTACAAAAAATGTTTTTTTTTTTTTAAAAAAATTTTGTGTTTGTCCATTTTAGCCGCACTACAAGAGGTTCGTGTGGACAAACTTCAAAACTTATTAAATAGTCATTTATTACAACTGAGAAAGGTATATCTAAAACCAAATTGAAACAAACTAAGCTTTTTTGCTAAATAAATATTGACATAGTTTAGTTTAATTAAAGTACTTTGTAATAGAGTATTTCACTATACTGAGAAGGAAATTTTAAGCACGAATAAATACATTTAAAACCATTATTCGATTTGATTTTCTTGAAAAATATTTTAAAATTTGTTTTATCATCTCATCAAAGCATTTGAAATGATAAATTTAAATATGCATTGAGATGCAGTCCTCATATTTTTACTAGTTACTTGAGAAGAAAGTTTGGTAACTATTCTTCTCTTGAGATTTGAGAAATGGTAGTTTTCTGGTAAAAAGGAAAGATTCGGGAAAGAGCTTTGTCCATTTTTTTCCTTAAGAATTGAACATCATAATCTCCATATCTATAAACAACTTCCACTCTATCAGCATAATACACAGCATTCTTTTTTTTTTATAAAAACAAATTGACTAGCACAAAGCCGTTAACTCTTATTATTGATTGAGCGTTGTCAAGAAGTTTCGATTTCAGTTCTTCAACATGTGATGATTAATGCTGAAGTTCTGATTTACTTTCTGTGTCACAGTCAACATCTTCTTTGAATTTTCTTAAAACCTTTAAAAAGTGGATTAATACAAGGATTTCTTGCTAAATGTTTTACTTGATATTGAGATATGTGTGTAGGTACTTCTTAACGCCGCACTAGAGCAGCATAATGGGCTATTGGCGAAGTTGGGAGAATCATCCCTGAGGATAATCCAAAGACATGCCATCGCAATTTTGATCTTCTGTGGAGGGGATCTCATTCAAAAGGCCACTTCCTCAATTTAGACATAAATCTGAAGGGAAAAGAAATTTTCTCCAGATACTTGTATCCATTGTACTACTTAGCACCGACCACATGACTTCGATTTACACATTTGGTTCAAGTTACACATTTGGTGAATTTTATAATTAACTAACACAAAGAAGTAAAATAGTCCAGTTTTGGGAGAAATTTTTCCAGTCATAGCAAAATTTATGTTTTAATGTTAGATAATGTGAGAACTTACCTTACCTTATAATTAAAATACCTTATTTTCGTATACCTTATAATTCAAATGTTTTTCAAATTTTATTAAATAAAATAATAAAAAATTATAAATATTTCTTAAACGTTAATTTTTCCATGGAATTATATTTGGATAAACAAATTTCATAATTGTGTGTTTCAATTGTGTTTTTTGGGTTTACGACTTCCAATGTTCAACTTAGCCTTGTAATTTTGAACCCAATCCAGAAGACAAGGGAACTGAAAATCCATCTTTTCCTCTTGATTTTTTATTGGAACCGGGTTCGAATCCCAGAAAATTCTGGTGGATACGAATTCCGCATCCGGTTTGCACCGACCACAGTGCTGACGTAAAATATCCCAGTGTTAGACATATCATGGATTAGAGTCCCCTTGCCATCAGGCTAACCATGGGAGGTTTTCGCTGTCTTCCTCACCATGTTACGCAAATGCGGATTAATTCCATCAAAAAGTCCTCCATGAGGACAAATTTCTCCCAATACTTGATCCAGGAGTTTCCTTCTCTTCTGGATTGGGTTCAAAATTACAATTCTACGGAGTTGAACATTAGCAGTCGTAATCTCAACAAATTGGGTTCATTGTTCAACGACGGTTATAAAATAATGCTACAGATTGACTCTGCCAATTCTGATGCTAGATTCATGTGTTTCATTATCAATCGGAAAAATTGGAATGGTAGACAGTAAAAGGAATGGTAAGTCGCAGAAGTTTAAAAAATCACAATCAAAACTGTTTTGACTTTTTAGGGTTAAGATTAACAGTTTCAATCTATTTATCAAAAATAATTCATACAGCATAAAGGATTAAGTAAACAAAGGTCTTAATTTTAAAAAATAATAAAGTTTTAACATTTTGTAATTTAAGAATGTATTCGTTCCTTTAACTCTTAACTTTGCCTGAAATATAAATTAATCTTCTAATTACGAGAAACTTAGAACCAATTTCACTACCGAACTTTTAACTTGGATTTAAATCTGCATCTTTTGTACCATTTTCGAACTTTAGTTACTAATCCTCAATTCCTGAACTCGTTTATCAACTTCATTGTGTAAGTCCAATGAAACTCTTAACTTGAAGACTCAGTCTTCAACTTAATTAACTCTTTGTACGATTCTACGACTTATACATAGCAGCAAAATTTTTCGCGTTTTGTAGACAATTTTCTGCAAATGTAACAAAATATATGATTTGATTTTCGGATGTGCGTTTCTTAAGTCCAATTTTATAATCCGTATTCTCATGGGACTTGAAAATTCGAATTTTGGTGGTTAACCCCTTGGGGACGGGTGATGCAGAAAAGCATTCGTACAAAATCAGAATCAAGTTGTAATTAAATAAAAAACGGTAACTTAAATGTAGTCGTTGCTAATTTGACAGGCTTACTTTGCTTTTACTTTAATTATTGTTGGTTTAATCATATATATAATCAATGTTAATTCAAAGTATAACTAAATAGTTTTATTTTGAACAAAGTAATGGTGAATTAAATAAATCAAACAATTATAACTCCGCCCACAAATAAACTGCTAAAGAAATACTTTGATTACCAGTTTTATCTTTTTACCCTGATTGATACGGTTTTATGCTGTCACGTATTTGTGACAGTCGGCGCGAAAGGGTTAATGATAATGGGTCTTATGTTTTTTTAGCACGTTGAATGCCATGGGGGTCACCGATGACCGGCACTGAGTTTGTTCGTAGCGCCAGGGGGTTACCGGAGAAGCCAAGATTATTGGAAACACATAATTCGAGTAATTTTTTATTTTTTTCATATTATTATCGTTACTAAAATGGTTTGAAGAAATTAATGCAATATAGATACCCAAAAATAGTTTTATTTATCTACAATGAGATGCCAACTTGATCCGGACAGCGAATAAATATTTTCAAGTGGTAGTTTATTAATTGTGATTCTTGGTTTAATAAATTCAATTTAATAGATTTTATCCACCACTATTTCTAAACAATTCGTAGTCTTATATAATTCACCACTTTTTTCAGATATGTCATGCTAAACCTTTTAAAAAACTAGCAAAATCTGGCTAATATTTGGAAATTTAGTTTGTAGTTATTTACCGTTGTGGCCAAACGGGCAATCCATGTAAAAATAGCGTGGCATTCAACGTGCGGAGAAGTAAATTTAACATTTAGAGGCAGGGCTGCTACTTATTCAAAACAAAAAAAACAAAAAACTGCTAATGAGAGCGTTTTACATTAATTTTTCCTTCGTAGGAAGCATACTTACCGAAACTTTCTCTACATTTTTACGAGTAGAATATTATTATTGCAACGGCATCTTAACAGAAACTGTGTTGTAATAGTCACAAATGCGCACTTTTACCGAAAGACAGGAAAATTTGAAATATTCTTATTACCAGTTTATTGTCCATTTCGGATATGATG